GATGGGTTTGTATGTTCTCTACTTAATTGTTCAAGTTGTTCTTTCCATTGATGTAGATCTGTTTCAACAAAATCATTTTCTTGATGACTTTGTCTTAATTGATCAGTTAACTTATTCAATTTAAATTCTATTTGTTTAATATGTCCATTTGTATGTCTGAATAATATTTGTCTAGCTACTTCTGCTGTTTCTTGAATTTTTTTGATCGAATCACTTTCCCAGTGGTTAATTTGTTGTACCAATTCATCTCTTTGTGGATCTGCTGTTTGTTCAGTAAGTGTTTGTCGATAGAGATCACGAATGACTTCAACTTCATCTAATTGTTTATTTAATTCTTGACGATGATCTCCAAAATGACTGTAACAGAAAATTTTTGCACATCCTTCACATTTAGAAATTCCTTTTGCTTTGCCACATGTATCACATAGATTTCTATCCGTTGTTGCCGTTGCCATGTGCAAAATACACCTCTGATGATTGTATGCGTGCGTGTGTTGACAAATGAAAATAAAAACAAATGAGAACGAAAAGAAGACGGTATTACTTCACCTTCTTGTGTCAATATGGATCGAAACAAGGTGACTCACCCGAAAAATTTCTAACATGAAGTGAGAGAACGAAAAAAATATTGGATTTTATGCAACGTTTGTGCAAGCAAACATGAATTTTTGATAAGATTGATAATCATAAATGTCTATAAGTTTTCCACTTAAGGGCCATCCCTTTTCGAGGTTTCTCAAGAACAGCTCATCAGAAAAATTTGAAGCTTTCACAGCTGATAGATCTCGATGTGGAGAGTAAAAGTTGTCATAGATTCAAAATTTTCAAATGCTTCTTTCCAGAAGATATTGGTGTCACAATGGCTAAAGATCGACTCCCAAATCGCCCCCGTTTCTCTAACGCAGTAAATCCGATCGGGCTGAAATTTTTCAACAGACAGTAGAGACACTTTAGGGGAACTACTTTTTTTGGCTTCTTTCTATCTCGTACCGTTTGAATAAAAAAGCTAAAATACGAAGAGTACCGTAAAAAACGCATGGTTTTTTTGAATAGTGCTTGTCTTGTAAGACTCGCCAAAGCACAGCGATCCAATAGTTTGCAAAACAAAAAAAGTAGTTCCCCTAAAGTATCTATACTATCTGTAGAAAAAATTTCAGCCCGATCGAATTTACTGTGCCTGAGAAACGGGGGCGATTCGGTAGATTTTTGCTGAAAAACCTGATTTCTAGAAAACTGCGAAAGAAAGAAAAAAGCTTATTAGCGCAGCTTCTTTGGAACTAAAATGTGGATCGCACGTATATCGTTAAATCTTGTTATCTTAATACGCCATCTGTAAACTGAAAGCTTTCTTGTTCACTACACGTTTTTTTTTGTAAATAATTGTTGACAAGAAAAATAATTGATCATTTAATTTCTACATTTAAAGTTGAAACTCTCTTTTTCGTTTAAGCGCGCCCGATCTTTTTTTTTGTTATTATTGCTATACACTCAATAATAATCATTTTTCTTTGTTTAGGGTGTGGGTGGGTGTGAGTGTGGGTGTGGGTGTGGGTGTGAGGGTGTGGGTGTGGGTATGGGTGTGGGGGGTGGGTGGGTGTGGGGGGGGGGGGGGGGGGGGGGGGGTGGGGGTGGGGGGGGGGCGGCGGCGCGGGGGGGCGCGGCGGGACCGCACGGGCC